TAAATAAATATTTGTAAGCGATTAGCCATAGACACCCGACGGGCGACGACTGTTCTTATCTTTATGACTTTACACTAATCGTATAATGTAATAGATGTATAAATAATAAATATACACAAACCGGCGACGGAAAATATTATAAACCGGCAGTCGGGCAGTATCGCAGTGAAATAGTGAATGTAGAACTGCCAGAACTAGAATACTCGGAGAAAATGGCATAGAAAAGAAAAAATCAAAATTTGTTGAATTTTTTCACAAAAAAAACAAAAATTGTAAGTAAAATGTTTAATTTGTATTGGAAGATACGTTGTAGGGGCATATCAATTTTATGAAAAAAACAATTTACTGGACTGTACATATTATTTTAAAACGTATTTAATATATTTTTAAGACTGCATACTCCTCCGTCGCGTCGACTTTATAACAATATAAGTTATTAGTGCTCGTTATTTCACGTGTACACGCTTTCACGTATTCACGTGAAATAAAGATTCGATTTATAAAACCATAAATGTAATGTTTATTGTTTATCAAAAATAACGTAGATTGATAAACACTGTTATTTGAATGTTATTTATTTAATTTTTTTTTTCAATAAAGTCGTAGTTATGTATATAATTTGTAACGTCCGATAAAAATTATGCTATCAGTGCATGTGTGAAAACAAGAGCACTAGTTATAACATTACGCGCACACCGCAAATCGAAATAAATTTACCGGTCAACCCGCGCGTGCGCATATACACACCCAGACTGGCCAGACTCATTAGTAATTAATTACATAGTATAAGTTTATGTTTATGTTAATAAATTTATGTCAATCTACGATCATAATCTTTGCTACCGTGAATTATATAATATTATAATATTGTCCAAAATAAATGCTTACCTATAAATATTAAACCACTTAATCCAATATTATGAAAATAAATAAATAATTTTTACTTACAATTTATCTGAGTATTTACAAACTAAGAATATAGATTTAGTAAACGCATTTGAAAGTGTATCCGAAGTCTCCAAGAAACTTCAAAATATTAGAGAAAATTCAAATGTCGAGTTTCATGAAATTTATGAGGGAGTAAAAAGTATTTCAGTTTTGTTAAATGTTAATGAAACTATGCCACGTATTTGTGGTAGACAAAAAAATCGAAATAATGTACCTTTTAAAGATATTGAAGAATTTTACAGACGTACAATATTTATTCCATACTTAGATGATTTGCTTTTCTCACTAAAACAACGTTTTCTATCTCATAAAGATACTATAAAGTCATTACAGTATGTATTGCCGTCTTTGGCTGTTGATAACCCATTTTCGTGTTTAAAACCGGCTGTTCAATTTTATGAAGACGATTTACCAGGTTATCAAGATATTATTGAAGCTGAATTTACATTATGGCAGTCTAAGTGGAAAATAGTTGAGCCAAAGTTCAGACCATTAAATGCAATTGAAACCTTAACCAACTGTGACAGCAATATGTTTCCAAACATGTATCAACTTCTAAAATTAATATCAGTACTACCTGTATCGACTGCTACGGCAGAAAGGAGTTTTTCTTCTTTGAGAAGACTAAAAACTTACCTTAGAAATTCAACTTCAGAGTCAAGACTTGTCGGACTCGCACTACTATCCATTCATAGAGATATTGACATTTCAGATGATCAAATATTGGACAAATTTGCTAACAGCGGAAAGGCTCGAAGGTTAAAATTGTNAGGAGGTGGATTTGAGGAGCTGTATATAATTTTATCCGACAGACATATCCGTATATCGAATCAATACAAACTGGGAGAAAATAGTATGTAATTTTTTAATTTTATTTTATTTCATGATAGGAAATAATTTTATTTCTGTAATTAATGGTTTATAACTACTTATATAGTTAGAAGAATTGACGGGTTCCAGTGTGCCACCACTCCGGATATTTCAATGTGTAGGAAAATCATGGATTCGTCGTCAGCTAGTTGGGAGATAAGTAACTCCATAATATATGATCTAAAAATCTATGAACGTGTTATGGTAAACTATTTAATGTCTAAGAGGAGGGAACTATATCATTATAATAATTTCCCCTTAAACTATATCAGGAGTGGTATGTCGATGAATCGACGTGTGTATGAAAAATTGTATACACGTGCTCATACCGCTCCTGATAAGAGGTGGATTAATATCTATCGCCAAGAAATTAATAAAGAAATAAATTTAAAAGTGGACCCTACCTCTTCGATATTAGTAGATTATCATTTTATTCGCGATACTCGGAGATTACTCGTTGTTCAACTGGCTGTCACGCTAAAGCTAGCCATACACGTTCCGGTTTGCCGGAGAGGTCGGACTGTGCAGGCGGACTGCACAGGCATACCGGATCGTGTGTGTAACAAGTTTGCGCAGTTTTCGGGGACTGCACAGGCGGCCGGAAAACAATTGAAAAACGATTCTTTTGGCCTGTACAGTCATGACTGTACAGGCATACCGGATCGTGTGTGCCCGTGTGTTGATATAACCGTCGTTCGACCGGCTGGTTCACTTTTGCGGCATAGTACTTTTGCTGTTTATTGGTTTAGGTTTGTTTTTTTTGTTTGTTGTCAATGTAACTTATTTTACAATTTATTACTAGTTATTTAACATATTTTGCTATATTATATTATATAATGAACCGTAGGCATTTGGAAGAATTTATAGATTTATATAAATCATATCCATGTCTGTGGCAAATAAAATCGAAGCTCTACCATGACCGCCCACTAAGGGAAGCGGCTTACAAAGCATTAATTGAAAAATTAAAAGAATTTGAACCAGATGCTAACAAAGATTTAGTTGTGAAGAAAATTAACAATTTAAGAAGCAGTGCCCGAAAAGAAAAAAAAAAATATGAAGCTTCTCTCAAGTCAGGAGCTTCTTCTGACGATGTTTATCGGCCTAAATTATGGTATTATGATATGATGAGCTTTTTAAACGACCAAGATACGCCTCGAGGATCAACATCAAATTTGGACATACAAGATGAAAGCATATCTGAGGTTGGTAAAACAATTAAGGTTATTTTTTTTGAAATATTTAATTAAACAAAATAATATACAAATAAAAAAAAAATACAAATATACAAAATATATATTGTTTATAATAAATATACTAAATTACGCGATAAACTTATTTTGCCATGGCACGGTGCCTTCATTACAGAAATAATTCATAAAATTTTCTCGTACTTGTTTTGCACTATTTGCATTTTCCACGATTCGTCGTGCACGACTTAACCTGTAATTGAATATTTTTTTTTTCATAACAATCCAAATGTGATTGTCGAAACGGTTTAAGCATATCAGTTCGTAACGGAAAGGCATCATCGCAAACAAAAACATATGGTAGTTGCTTGGAACTTCCCTCAATGTTGTCTGCGCAAGGAATGTTTAATTCTTCATTTAGTAGTTTTTCGAAAAACGTTGTATTCTGAAGAACACCCCCATCAGAAATTCTGCCATTTGTTCCAAAATCTACCAATAGAAATTGATAATTTGCATTTACTAAACCTAAGAGAACCATGCTATGGTGGCCTTTATAATTGAAAAATTCGGATCCACTTCCAGCTGGTGGAACAATATTTATGTGCTTTCCGTCGAGCGCACCAATACAGTGTGGAAAGTTCCAACGTTCCTCGAATAATTGTGCAATGTCTTTCCATTCTTCTTCAGTTGTAGGAAACTGAAAAAAAATTTAATTAAAAATTATATTTAATTAAAATTGTATTTAATTTTAAAATTAAATTTATCTCATTTTTATTTCAGATTGGAATAGATGATAATCTGGAAAATGAAGTAGAAGGAATCGACTCAGTAAATTCGACAGTTGCGCAATCAGATATCGTTAATCCACCAAGGGCAGAAAAATCCAAAAAAAACGATGCAAAGTTGCAAACTGAGGTGTTGTTATCGGTGCGTGATCATTTTAAACGACCGAAAATGAATGAAGATCGGTATGACGTTAGTGCAAAAGGTTTTGCTATGAGATTGAGGGAATTGGAAAAAAGGCAGCGAATCATTGCTGAAAAGTTGATGAACGATATCCTTTTCGAGGGTGAAATGGGTAACTTGACATTAAACCATAAGTTAACAACAGCAGCAGAAACTACATCAAGCTGTTACGCGCGAAATCATAGTTCAAATTCCAATTTTAGTACAAATTCTAATTTGAGTTCTTTTTCTGAAAATGATGTCTACGTGTATCAAGAAAATGATGATATTGCTACTAATCAACAACAAACTCAACCAGAAAATGCTGCTCATTATATAACTAATTTTATAAACTGTCTTGAAAACTAAACAATGTATCTACATATTATAGATTTAAATAAATATTAATTAATAAAAAACTGTGTTTATGTATTTTTTAGATTTTTAGGTTACAGTATGAATTATTTATGAGAATCTTTGTTTTAAATTTTCAATCCTTAGTTATAATAACTGAACATTTTATAATTTTTTAATTACAGTGATTGATAATTTTCGATATTTTGATAAATTTTGTTATGACAGACACAAAAAAAAATAAAAAATTTAAAAAAACACATCATTGTAAAAACAATACATTCTTCGTTCTACTCAGAATCTAAAAGTATGATATATTCATTAAAATATTTTGTGTACTTACCGTTAAATATTCCCTACGTAATACTCGGTACAAAGCATCACAGGTCTCTGGAACAATTTTTCCAAGTGCTTGAGATGAAATGATTGAAGTGTATTTTAAGTCTTCGTAAGTCCTTCCAGTTGCGAGGAACCTTAGGGTAACTGCTAACCTCTCGTGCGGTGAAATACTTTTACGCATTACAGTGTCTTGTTTTTGTATTAAAGGCGCAACCATTGACAGTAGATTACGGTAAGTATCCTCGTCCATTCGTAAATAATTTTTGAAATCCAGTGGTTCGAATCTCAATTCATTTAATAAATTGACATGGCTGTAGATTTTTCGTTTTAAGAGCCAATCTTTGGCCCATTTTTCGCGTTTTTTTTGTTTTTTGTTTTTAAGAATTAGAGCTAAGCCTACCAAAGCTATGGCGTCGTCGTCTAGGACTGACATATTGTACGTGAATTAAAAAAAATAATGTGAAAAATATTTTGAACATTCGACGACCCGCAGCTGAGGACTATTTTGGCCGGAAAGCGTGTGACTGCGCAGTCCTGCGTATCCGGCAAATCGTGGCGTGTATGTCGTCATCGGAAATCGGTAAAAACTGTGCAGGTTAAACTGTGCAGTCCGACCTCTCCGGCAAACCGGAACGTGTATGGCTAGCTTAACCGATGGACTTGTATATTCAAATAAGCGGTGGGGTTATATATGTTATAAATGCTCATTCACCCACCCACGATATCCATTCGAATATAAAATTTTTTTAGAAATATACCCATTAATCAACTATGCGACATATAAGTTTATAATAAATAATTGCTTTAAATAATCTATTGATAATTAATTCATAAGTATTTAACCTCATTTAGTATATAGTTCAAATTTGTATATATTTTTTATTAACGTTATTAATAATCATTCTATTGTATATGTATTCTACCTATGTCATTGTTAAAACATGTATTATGATATTTTTATGTTTAGTTAATATATGATCTATGATATATGTTGTTTCAATTATTTAATATGAATATTAATAACTTGAAATAATTAATTAAGTACTTATATAAATATATAATCATATCTATTTATGTATGTTCTATATATTTATTCATACTTGTTAAAAGATTTTACTCGCGTGATATATTATAAATTATTTTAATATAAATATTATATATATAT